AACTGGGGCTACACTCGGGCAAGCCAGCAAAACTGTGGTGCGACAATCTTGGGGCTACATACCTAGCTGCCAATCCTGTTTTCCACGCTTGGACGAAGCATGTCGAGATCGATTATCACTTTGTTCGGGACAAGGTCGCATCTGGGGATTTTATTGTCAGTTTTGTTTCCACAAAGGAGCAGCTGGCAGACATCTTCACCAAGCCGTTACCTGGACCACGTTTTCGCTATCTTCGGGACAAGCTCAATGTTGACGCCCTTCAACCTTGCGCTTGAGGGGGTGTGTTAGTAATATGAATAATTGTATTTATTTCATTATGTCATATAGTTTATATCTGTGGTTGAGACTTAGTCTTATTATTATTAGCCTACAGAATAGGACTTTAGTATATAGACTTGTAATCTCTTGTTACGGTTAATTGAATTGATTATCCATATTCTAATATTCAAAAATTTATGAACTTTTGTAAACTTTTTAATTTTAAGACTTTTGTAGACTTTTCCTTCTCAAATATAAATAGTCGAAATCCGACCATCAACCCCAAGATTTCAAATTTTCTTTCTAACAACTTTGAATGTTTTCTCTCTATTTAAACTCTATTTTTTCTCCCTATTTAAACTCTATAAATCTATCTAAATTCAATAAAATTATTTTTTTCTTCATTATCCTATATTTTTCTCATACCTAAACTCTACCAATTTTTATCTCTCTCATAAACTTTAGAATCTTCATCTAAAAATTCGAAATAATATTATTTTTACTTCATTAATGCTTGTTTATATTGGTTTTTATTTTTTTCTATGAATTTTTTATCACTAACTTTCTCTAATTCTACCTAAATACATGAACAAAGCAAATTTTTCATCGTCAAATTTTAGTATATGTTTCATAATATTCATATAAATACTTATATATTTTGATTTTGATTATTTTTATGTTTATATTCGTAAAATATATATATATATATATATATATATATATATATATATATATATATATATATATATATATATATATATTAACAACAGGTTACTACGAATAGCGAATTACTGTTCGTAACAAAAATTTGGAGTTGCAAATAGTAGCACCTTGTTGTTGTTTGCAGTCTCAAATTGCTATTGCAAATAATAGTTCTTTGTATGATGCCTAGCAATATATCAAGGATAATTTTCTATATATTATTAATATTGGATTTTTATTTTTTTATTTTATGCAACTTGTAATTATATTTTTAAATATTTTATTTGATCAAGTCTTTTATTATAAATTTTATTATTCAATATTGTTATGAATTTCTAATGAAATAGTTTTTTTTTTTGTTGATGTTTATTAATAATATATATAAGCTAAGTAATTAGCATATAAGTCTCAGCATACTATGTATAAAAATAATAATGTTGATGTTGGTGAAGAACTATATAATAAAAAGAATTTTATGATATATTATAAATGTTTTGTAAGAAAATTGTAAATGATAAGAATCAAAATCATTGAAAGTTTGTAATGATGTATTCAATTTAGAATTTCAATGACTTTTGTAGACTTTTTAAAATAAAAAGTTGATAAAAGTATATGAATGTTTTTTATATAGACTTTTATAGAGTCTTATAAAGTTTTAAAAAGTTTTGAACGACTCTATAAAAGTCAATCAAAGCTTATTAAAATCTATCATTTTAAAAGTCTTTAAAACTCCACAAAAGTCATGATTGAATACACCCCCTAATTATAAGGTAGGATATTATTTAAACCTAATTTTGGATGAAATAATTCATAAGTTATAACACTTACATCGATTTTCTAATAAAAATATTTTTTTGCATTATATTTGTATATCTTTTCATTATTGTAAATTTATTTCTATATTTTTATGTTATGGAAACAAAATGGTAAATAGATGTATTATTATTATTGTTGACGGAAATAATTGAAAAAAGGATGCAAAAAATGGGCGCCACTGTCTAATGATTGCAGTAATCACAACATTCGTCTTCTCCGGGAAAACCCTAAAAAGCTTCAAGAATACACATTTTCCCAGAAATGCAGAAAGCTTTTGGTAATATATATATATTCTCTCTTGTTTCTTCTTTTATCTTGGGATTATTTTGATTTTCATGAAATATAAACTGAACATATACATACAGCTTTTCTTGGGCTGAAAAAATCTTCGAAGCCGTTCAAGGATTACTACAGCGAGTGGTTTAATGCGCTGAAGAACGTCCACCTCCCCCAGCTCCGCCGCGCCATGTTAGCCGCCACCGTGTCTCCGGCGATTCTCTCAGCCCACGTCGACGCGATGCAACGACACTTCATTGCCTACTACGAGGCGCTCGACCTCGCCGCCTTAAACGACGTCGCTCAGGCGCTTTTTCCGGAGTGGCGTAACAGCCTCGAGAAGCCGTTCCTCTGGCTCGGCGACCTCCATCCCTACCTCTTCACCAACCTCCTCCGCTCGTTTCTCGAGGAGGACGACGACGAGGGTTCCGGCGACGAAGAAGAAGAAGACGGGCGAGAATCTCGCGGGGAGAATACCGGCGGCCAGCCGTGGTACCTGGCGAGGGCGTGGCGGAGCCCTCCGAGGACGCTGACGGCGCGGATCGACCAGATAGAGTGCGGGCTGAGGCTCATGGTGCCGGCGCTGGCGGCGCGTGCGAGGCACGCTCAGGCGGCGTTTGTTGATAGGGTTGGGAGGGAGTGGGGGCGCTGCGAAGGGCGGAGTGAGGATGCGAAGTCGGCCGTCGAGGAGTCCGTGGCGGCGGAGATGGAGGAGCTCGTCGACGTGTTCGTGGACGCCAACCGCCTGCGGCGGAGCGTGCTGTCGGACATCGTGAACGCGACGGACGTGTATCAGGCGGCGCTGTTTCTTGAATCGCTGGCCCAATTTCTTGTTGGGTTCAAAGATAAAAAATTTCTGGCCCAATGTGAAAAGTTTAAGATGCCCGTTACTTGATTGGGCCGAGTTATATTTTAATGGGACCATTGTATCGGAAGCCCAAGGATCAATTTTATACTCTGCTTTTTTTGCGACGAATATAGAGGTTTGAGGAGATAGGAATATTTTGCCATTCGTCACTAAATTCGTTCGCTTCATGTTTTAAATTTTGCTACTCTTCAGTCTCCACTAATGCAGAAATAAATAAGAATTGTTGTCCGTATTGAGCTAACTCATTGGTTCAGTAGGATTAGAAGAGATCAATGTCTAAACTTTGATAGTGGCGGTGTGAAAATTATATGTAAAGTGGACAAAACCAACACTGATATTTGGCCTTGTCTGCTGAGTCATTGAATCATCATGATTTACATTTTTCAAAATGATCTGTTGGACTGGAGTGTAGGGGTCTTTAGAGTTGGATATTCATCTAATTAATTGAAATTTATTGTTAATTCTTTAAAAGCCAAGATTACTTTTTGTCAATAAATAACGACAATAAACATTTTCATATAATTATTGCACAATATAATATTTACAAATTTCATACTTAATTAGAAAATTAGAAATTAATTTGCTCAAAAATGGGTGAGTGTCAATAACATTATTTATTTATATAAAATATTAATTTCTTATTTATATGACAATATTTAAATATTATTTACAAACAAGTAACTTGTCAAAGGTTTCGTATAAACATATACTACATTATAATAGAGTCAATAGTAATTAAAAGAACAAGTAAACGTACACTTGTCAAAGGTCTCGTATGAACATATACTACATTATAATAGAGTCAATAGTATTTTTTTTTTTTTTTTAAAAAAAAGATACTACATTATAATAGAGTCAATAGTATTTAAAAGAACAAGTAAACGTACGTACACTTGTCAAAGGTCTTGTATGAACATATACTACATTATAATAGAACATATACTACATTATAATAGAATCAATAGTATTTAAAAAAAAAAAAAAAAAAAAAGGTGCATTTAAGTTGCAAAGAATAATTCTTAACTCATTTTTGGTGTGCCAGCCCGAATATAACCGGGCGCCCCGTTTTTGTGTTGTAAGTCCGATTTGGGACCATCTTTCTAATGGATTACCTGCTTACTCGCGTTGTGAATTGTATTTTCTAAAATTAAATGAATTTAAGCATAGCCCCCAGCGAGGATCGAACTCGCGACCTTTCGCTTACGAAGCGAACGCACTACCACTATGCTATGGAGGCTTTTGATCTAATGGCTTAATAGTTATTTAATATTGGCGCAGAAACCTAATAGAGAAATCAGGTTCATACGAGTGTATCCCCATTTTCATAAATTTGCTCCTTTTTTTTTTTCCTTGCATTCTTTTTGAAGGCAAAAGATCCTCATATATTAAAGAAAAGAGCATAAAAAGCTCAGAGGTTCCTCATGTCATACAGAATGAGCCAACCAAGTATCATTCATCTTTGTTAGAAGATGAGCAACCTCATTATTACACCTATGAACAAACTGAACCTTAATGTCAATAATCGAGTTAATAAGACGAATACAATCATGAATAACTAAACATGTATAAGACCGATAAATAGAAGCATCAACTAGACTATTACAAAGAATTTGACAATCAGACTCTACACAAATACTGAAAAGACCACGATTATTAATCAATTAGAACACCTTTCTTAAAGTTCGCCTCAGTTAATAACGGATCATGGAAGGGCCAAGGGAGCCGTTACCCGCTGCTAAGAACACACCCCCATTGGATGATGGGGTTTTCATAGTCTAAAATTTTTTATTTGCTCTTTTTACCGCTAGTATATCAGTTGCATGGTTATATTTTCATAATTTGATTATTAATATTCAAAAGAATTAGAAAAAGAAATAAGAGAAAAATAATTAGAAAGAAAATTTGAATGCATAATCCCCCAATGACTCGGAATGATATTCACTCCCTGCCTTCCACTAACTATTCAAAAGCCTTATTCACCTCCCACTCTCTTTAACTGAAAATTTTACCTATAAAAAATCTCACAATGTTTATACCAAAATATATATACATAAAAAATGAAATAATAAAAAAACATAAACATAAAATTGTGACTTTTACTAACATTAATTTACCTTACAAAAATATGGATTCCCGGGAATCGACGGCGATACTAATTCCGCCGCCGTCACCTTACACTCCGCTGTTGGCCGGCAAGTCCCCGTCCTCTTCTAGCCGACGCCACTTGTTTGCGGCCCTCGCCGTCGTCTCAGTGGCGGCGTTGGTGTGCGTGACAATGTTACTTGTGGTGGCACTGAGGGTGGACACTGTCGGCAAATCCAAGACTCCGGTCAAAGTTTCGTCGCCGCTCACAAATGCAACGGTTTCATCCCCTTTCAAAACCAGGCCGCCGCCGTCGGCGGTGGCGCGTGGCGTCCCGGAGGGTGTTTCTAATAAGTCATTTGGCCCTTCTGGGGTTGATCAACCCTTTATATGGACCGATGAGGTACTGAGTTGGCAAAGAACTGCCTTCCATTTTCAGCCTCAGAAAAATTGGATGAATGGTATGTTATATTACTCATGCATGTATATATAGGCGAGAGCCCATAGGCTAGCCCTAGCCCCTAAATCGCCCGGCAACGGGACAGGTTAGGGCCTAGCCCACGGGGTTACGAGACACACATTCTGCTCAAATGACAGGTAGTGATCTCTTTCATGAGATCGAACCTCAGTAGAGGCGTTGTTGACTCTGTGTGCTTCATTAGGTTGAGAAAGACACGCACTAAACATTAAAAATTAAAATCTTAATACATTAAAAATTTTAAATGTCTAAACACTAAAAAATCTAATAAGTTAAATTGTTAGAATATCTAACAATAATAATATAATATATATTTTTAAAGTGAGAGGGGTTCCTTGCGCAGTGAGCATCGGTCTAGCCTCTATGATTCATGTTCGGTTGAGTCACCATGATTTACATCCTCCCAAATGCTCTGTCGGGCTGGGGTGTGGGGAGCCCTTAGGGTTGGGGTTCAGCCTTTTGGAATAATAATATATATTTTTAAATTTGAAGCTAGCTATATTTTTAAATTTGAAGCTAGCTTATGGGCCCGTGATCATGCATGAGACGGGTTAAGATTGCATAAGCATAATCCTAGACCAGACGGGACGGGTAAGGCTAGCAAAAAAAAATTGACACCCCTACTTAAAATAAATAGGTTGTATTACACGGTGCATCGATGAACAAATTATTATCTAAGACATTGTATTTTATGTTAACATTAACATTGTCACAAATAATTTATATAATATCTCACATTAGTTAGGAAAAAAAAAAAAAACTTATGTATATAAGAGCAACTACAATTGTTGGTTAGTTTTTACAAACATTACTGGAAATTTTGAAAAAATCCCTCTAAAATTTATAAATGGGTTTCTCTAATATGTTATTTCCAATAATTAATTTGGTGTGTTTTCATGTATTTTTTTGCATGAATTTGGTGATGCGGAATTTGGATGGGTGTTTCAGATCCTAATGGTACGTCATATTCTATATGTAATTTTTTGTACTTATGTTATATTAGACATAATACATAATAGTATTACTTTGTTGAATTGAATGGATACATGTTATATATATTTAGGTCCATTATTCTACAAGGGATGGTATCATTTTTTCTATCAATACAACCCGGAGTCGGCGGTATGGGGGAACATTGTATGGGGGCATGCGGTGTCACGTGACTTGATCCACTGGCGCCACCTTCCCATCGCCATGGTTCCCGACCACTGGTACGACGCCAACGGCGTCTGGACCGGCTCCGCCACCTTCCTCCCCGACGGCCAGCTTCTCATGCTCTACACCGGAGCAACCAACGACTACGTGCAGGTAGGGGTGAAATCGAATCAAATACTTTATATTTGATTTGAATATGAATTTGAATATATATTTCGATTTGAATTTTTTTCCACATATGAATACGAATCAGAATATATTCGATTCGACTTAAGTTAAATTCGAATAATGTAGTCGAATTGAATATGAATAAAATTTGGAATTGCATATTTAACGAATATGAATAATTTTTAATATAGTCAAAATTCAAATCAAATAGTAAAATATTTGACTCAATTCAATTTGTTTACACACTTACGTGCAGGTTCAAAATCTAGCATACCCGGAAGATCTATCCGACCCGCTTTTGCTCAAATGGGCCAAGTACGAGGGTAACCCGGTCCTTGTTCCGCCGTCGGGAATCGGGTCCCATGATTTCCGTGACCCCACAACTGCCTGGTACAATGAGGCCGAGGGCAGGTGGCACATCATGATTGGTTCAAAGATTAACAAGACTGGGATCACCATGGTTTTTGACACTAAGGACTTCAAGCACTTTAGGTTGGTAAACGGGTTGGCCCATGGAGTTGCGGGTACGGGTATGTGGGAGTGTGTGGATTTTTACCCAATTTCGACCACTGAAGGAATCGGGCTCGACACTTCGTACAATGGGCCCAACATAAAGCATGTTTTGAAGACCAGCCTTGATGATGATCGGAATGACTATTATGCCATTGGAACGTACAAGGAGCCCTCCGAGAAATGGAGACCCGATGATCCCACCATTGACACCGGCATCGGGTTAAGATATGATTATGGAACATATTATGCCTCTAAATCATTCTATGATCCATCAAAGAAGAGGAGAGTTAATTGGGGTTGGGTTACTGAAATTGACAGTGAAACTTCTGATCTACAAAAGGGTTGGGCTTCAGTTCAGGTACATTATTAGAAACATCATATCTTTTTCTGTAGTGAGTTTTATTCTTATTTAAATTCTCTTAATTGAATCATCGTAATAAGTAGTAATTTATCTTTCTTATATGGTTTGTGAAATTACTGCATATCCTCAGTCAGGTTTCGCTCGTCACTCAAAAAAAATAAAAAAAAAAAAGGCAAAATATAGTTGAAAAAATAGTGTAAAATTACACAAATGCCCCTAATTGTTTATTGCAATGTTCGCCTTTTTTCTATTATTTTATTATTTATTTTGAATTTTACTTATTATCATATCTTTCTTTCTTTCTTTCTTTCTTTCTTTTTTTTTGCTTGTGGGTTAAAAATTATGAGTTTTATTATTGTCAAAATTATTTTTTGATTCATTCTACTGGGTCTTTTTAATGCAATTTATCTCGTGTGATTTGTCAAATTATTGCATATCCTTAATAGGGTTTCCCTTGTCACCCAAAAAAAATAAATGCAAAATATGGGTTGAAAACTAGTGTAAAATTACAAAAACACTCGTAATTGTTTCTTGCAATGTTTGCCTTTTAATACTTATGGAAAAAGTATGCAATGTGACATCATGTATAGGGCATTCCAAGAACCATATTGTTTGACAACAAAACCGGCACCAACCTCATACAATGGCCAGTGGAGGAGGTTGAGAAGCTAAGGAGTCAAAAATCGAAATTTGAGAAGGTTGAGGTGAAACCAGGTTCGGTTGTACATCTTGACGTGGGAAAGTCTGATGAGGTTAATATCCTTAATTTTTATTTTTTTTTTCTATATTAAAGCATCATTAAATGATTATAGAGATATATAATATGATAGTACAGTAACTTAATTGTATACATTTTGAATTTGTAAATATATATATATATAGTTGGATATTCTGGCGGAGTTTGAAGTTGATAAGGATGCATTTTATACATTTTGAATTTGTAAATATATATATATATAGTTGGATATTCTGGCGGAGTTTGAAGTTGATAAGGATGCATTTGGAAAAGCGGCAGGAAGTGACATCCCATATAGTTGCACCGCCGGAGCTTCCCAACGCGGTGGTTTAGGGCCGTTTGGGTTGCTTGTTATTGCTAAGGATGATTTCTCCGAGCACACTCCGATCTACTTCTACATTGCCAAGGATACAACAGGAAATTTCAAAACTTTCTTCTGTGCTGATCACTTAAGGTCCTTCCTAAATTCTATTGTTTTACTCCTTTTCATATATGGAAAATGTTGGATATTTGTTTTTATTATTATAGCCCTCACGAGCCTCAATGGTTCAGTAGATAATATTTGGGAGAAGAGACCAAGGTTTGAACTTCGGTGACAACAATGTGGGGATTATGCCCAAAGTGTCATATTCCTTGTGTGCACTAACATTTAATCCTGACTGCTGAGCCATTAAATCACTGTTATTTACATTCTCCCAAACCCTCTATCCGGTCGAGGTGTGGGGGACCCTTAGGGTTGGAGATTCAATGTAAACTTATTATAAATTGTACTTTTTTAGGTCATCCCTAGCCAACGATGTAAGAAAGAAAACCTATGGCAGAACAGTTCCTGTCCTCGACGGCGAAAGTCTCTCAATGAGAATATTGGTAATTACTTTTTCTCCTCATTTATTTAAACGTTTATATCAATCTGTGAACCATTCTGCAACGTAACAATTGAGATCCATTCAAGGAACAGTCTTCTAAGCGTACGTATTGTTGCATAAAACTAATTAATATAAAAATTATTATTGTTTGTATGGTAGGTGGATCATTCAATAGTGGAGAGCTTTGCTCAAGGTGGAAGGACATGCATAACATCAAGAATCTATCCAACAAGTGCAATTGGTGAAGATGCTAAGCTGTTTTTGTTCAACAATGCAACGGATGCCACCATTACTGCATCGGTTGAGGTCTGGCAAATGTCTGAAATGGACTCTGCTGCCCCTCACAACTTCAACAAATGGGGAACTTGTACCTACATCATCTTCATTGTCTTCTTCTTCCTCTTGTAGTTTCACATCTCATCTTTTTAGGGTTTTTAGTGTATTTTGGTTGGTGGAAACGAACTCTTTAATTTGCATGCATGTAATCATGAAATAAAAAGAGATTGCTGCTAATAATAAGTTATTAACCATAATGTAATATCTTTGAGCTTAATTAGTATGTTTGTACTTTGTCATCTTTTACAAGAAATGAAAATAGCAGGGTTCAAGTTTATTGAAAAAGAAGCATTGATTTCTTTTAAAATTGCCTCTGCATGCCGTGTAATAATAATAATAATAACTCGCGGTCATTGAGGTGAAAGTTTGAAAGAATGACCCGGGATCAAGTCCGGACCCATGTCCAGCATGCATGCAGGACACGGTAACGGTGCCGTTAGGCACCGTTTTCTCTTCCACTTTTTTTTTTTTTAATTTAATTTCAGACCACTTTATTATAGGAGTATATGTTCATAATTTTATCACTATATGTTCATAATTGTAAGTTCATAATGTCATAGCTCTGTGTTCATAATTGCATAACTAATTGTACATTCATAATTGCATAACTGTACACATAGACGGAGCCAAAGGGGGGCAGGGAGGTCAGCTGCCCCCCCCCGCCCCTCACCCCACCCCCACCCCTAACCCTACCCCTACCCCATATATAATTTTTGTATGTATATATGTGTATATAGTACATTTTTGAGTATTAGTATATAAAAATTGTTAATTGTTCATAAAAAATGAGTTAAATTAGTTGGTAGAGCATGCATTTGGTTATAATAAAGGTTAGGCGTTTGAATCATATAGTTTTTTGGCTCCTTCCCTATGACTCTAACACGCCCGGTGAACGGCGGCCGTAACTATAACGGTCCTAAGGTAGCGAAATTCCTTGTCGGGTAAGTTCCGACCCGCACGAAAGGCGTAACGATCTGGGCACTGTCTCGGAGACGTTTTAATAGTTTTTTTAATATTTGATACACACATACATATATATTTTCAAATTATTTTATCAAATTAATTATGTTTCATATTTTGTTATGAAAAATATTTTTATAAACTTTCGATTTGTTTTATTTTTCGCCCATATCCAATAATATTTACACCTATATTTCTTAGGTAATTTATTTATTTATTTTTAAATATCTCTTTTATTTTAATGTTTCGCCTTTACTGAAAAAAATTTGTGAATCGGTCCCTATTTCGCCCCCCCCCCCCCCCCCCCCCTCAACAAAATTCCTGGCTCCGTCCCTGACTGTACATTCATAATTCGGTAACCGTACATTCATAATTCAATAACTGTAAATTCATAATTTTCGAAACTCTATGTTCACAATTTTAGAGTTCTATGTTCATAATTGTAAGTTCATAATCCCAGAGCTCTTTGTTCATAATTCCATAACTTACATTCATAATTTCATAATTGTACATTCATAATTGCATAACTGTACATTCCTAATTCCATAATTTTATATTCATAATGCCACAAACGAATAACACCATTAACGGCGAGAAAATTAATTTTTTTTTTTAACTGAAAGGCCGTGTTTTCTCTTAAAACGACGTCGTTTTGGACTCGTGTCCACAATGCATTGTGGACACGAGTCCACAGCATAATTTACGCCTCAAAGTGAGGGGGGCTCATACTCTGTCGGGCCCTTGGGTCTTGAGATTCAACATTTTGAGAGGAAGAAAAATAATAATAATAATAATGTCACAAATGTTATGTTTGAAAAAAAAAAAAGGTAATCTAATTGGTTTATATATATATATATATATATATATATATATATATATATATATATATATATATATACACACACACACATCATATTAAATAATAGTATTTGTGTAACATTATCATATCTTATGCTTACTTGTTCCAAAATGATGAAATGAAGATATGAGTATATGATTTGAAAAGGATTTGGCAACCACCTAATTTACTACATTTTTTGTTTGCATGGTTTGGTCCATTCATGTCAATTTTGATGGTGGAGAGAAACAAATCATATGGAAAAGGATTGACAAGTGCCAGCTTCGGACATACTCCCCCTGCATCAATTTCATTTGCCGACATATTATTTAGGTTGTACCCAACATGATGTACTAATTAATTTATTACTTTTTGTATATATAATTTTATGTGTAATTCAATTAACATCTTAACGATATGCGTCTAATTAAGTTAATGAGCATCAGCCAATAATATTGTGATCTAGTGATATGAAGTAATTTTTCTAAATGAGATGTCGTATTGACTCTTTGTACTTCAGTAGGTTGAAAAAGAAAGTAATTATAAACAGATACCCAGTTGCTCCCCTAGTCCCCTATATGAGAGATTGTGGGATCGAGACTCAGTGGAGGTGGACTATTGACTCTTTGTGCTTCAGTATATTGAGAAAGTAGTTATGAACAGATACTACATTGTAACAGAGTCAGTAGTACTAAAAAAAAAAAATAGTTATGAACAGATAATACATTATAACAGAGCCAATAGTACTAAAAAAAAATAATTAACGAACATTAAGTATTTACAAGATATCTTAGTAAATGAGGTATAGTGAGTACTACAACTATTTTTATGACTTCATACGATATTTTGTTGTAATTTTAAATAAAAAAATTATTATTTATATTGTTGTATCTTCAATTTTGTTATTTTTTTTTTCTCAAAAAGTTCACATTCTGACATTCATCTCATCATACAATAAGAAAATTCTTTATATTTGGGAGAAGAAAATTCTTTATATTTACTTAGTTACTTATGAATTAGTCTATTTAACTATAAGTTTAAAAATAATATATTACATTGTGGGAAAAAAATAGTATATTACATACTCAAATATATTTATCAATAAAATATATAGCATCATATAAGTAAATTTAAAAAGAAAATGTATCATCACTTTTTTTATGTTTATTAAGAGTGAATTCCATTTTTGGTCCTACTGTTATAGGCATTCCAATTTTAGTTCACCATAATTATTTTTGCCACATTGCGTCTACTATTATTAAAAGTGTTTCAATTTTAGTCCACAAAAAATCTTAAAATGGACTAAAATTGGAACACTTTTAATAATAGTGGACTCAATATGACAAAAATAATTATGATGGACTAAAATTGAAAAAGTTCCTATAGCAATATGACCAAAAATGGAATTCACTCGTTTATTAATTACCAGTAAATTAGTTAATATTATCAAAAGTATTTAAATATTTTTTGTTTTCTCTTCCTTTATTATATATATTTATTAAGTATTTTTAAAAATTATAAAATAATGTTAAGTCAAGAGATAAAAATTTAAAAATAATTTTAAAAGAAAATTAAAACTTATGTAGAGCACATTGAAACATTTGAAAAAACTCGGTCAGGCGGTCAGGACCACAACAATGACAACATGCATGACTGGGCAGCAGGGCAGCTGACCTTAAGGGGGCGTTTGGTTCAGGTTATATTACATAACCATGGGAATATGACATTCCTGAGCTTAGATTCCTATGTTTGGTTCATACTATCTGAGGGAATATAACATTCCCAGGGAATGGAACATTCCCTCCACATAGGATTTTGAAGGGAATGTGATTCCCTTCCTTTTCTTAGGTAATGTGAGATAACCTTGGATATTTATAAATTTTGCTATTTTCATTCTAATTATTTAAAAATATATATTTTATGTTAGCTTATATATATATATATATATATATATATATATATATATATATATATATATATATATATAAAGATAAAGATAACCCTAAACCAAACATAATTATATTATATACCTCAGTCTTAACCAAACACAGGAATTTAACATTCCCAGTAATCTAACATTCCCAGCAATCTAACATTCCCTAAGGTAATCTAACATTCCCTAAGATAATCTAACATTCCGTGAACCAAACGGCCCCTAAAATATATCCGTTATAGCCTGTACGGTCGCTTTCTTCAAAATAACCCATTAAATTTTAAATAATAAAATAAATTAAAAAATAAAAATAAGAAACGACCAAAGAGTCATTCATACGTAACATTTGCTTCTTTTTCTTTTTCTTTTATGCATTTTTTTTTTTGAAGAATGCATATTTTGTTATTAATTTCACCTTAGTGATACCTCATAGCAAAATAGTAAAACATTTGTAATTTCTGATACGGCTCTATTACATTGTAGTATCTGTTCATATACTTTCTCAATCTATTGAAACACAACGAATCAATAACGCCTCCACTGAAGAAAATTCAAATATCAGCCAGTAGCATTCAAAAAAAATTAACAAAATAGTCTTTTGATTATTATAGTAATTTCATTATTTCCATTACAACAAATTACAATAATAACTAAATACAATATTTTCAAACAAATGAAAATATTTTTTGCACTTTTTTACAAGAAGAGATTAAAACAACTATTCGGAAATATTTAAAAGTATTAAAATTACTTTAAGTCTAATCAAATCAATTGCTGAAGTAACATATATAAATTACGTAATAAAATCAACACATAAAATGTGGATAATATCTCATGTGTCTTTTCCAGCTGATATATCCTAAGGTCTCCGCCTTAGGAATGCAGTTACTTTGAAATATATGAGAAAAATGTTTTATCATATTTTGAAGTCCTACATATTGAATATAATTAATTTCGGTGTGTAGAATCTTTAATTTCTATATTCTGGTTGAGAAAACGTGTGGCCTCACAACTACCTTAGCTTAAAACTTATCGGGCTTTGCGTATTTTGATGTCCTATCTAGTATGAATATGATTAGTCTCAGTGTGTGAGATATTTTTGTATTCTTCTCCTAAAAGGTTGAATTCCCAACCTCAAGGACCCTACACACCCCGACAATATATTTTTGTATCCTTCTTTCGACCAGACCGGCAGAACATCTGTGAGGCCGACCGACACCCCAAGGACCGGCAAATTATGCTATGGACCCGTGTCCACCATGTGCATGGTAGACACACTGTACATTCATAATTTTTATACTGTACATTCATAATTTTTATACTGTAGATTCATAATTTCTAAACTGTAGATCCATAATTTTTATAATGTAGATTTATAAAATCTATACTGTAGATTCATAATTTCTATACCGCACATTCATAATTTATGTACTATATGAATCTACATTATAAATTTTATGAATCTACATTATAGAAATTATGAATCTACAGTACAGAAATTATGAATGTGCAGTATAGAAATTATGAATCTACATTATAAATTTTATGAATCTACAGTATAGAAATTATGAATCTTCAGTATAGAAATTATAAATATACAGCGTGTCCACCATGCACATGGTGGACACGGGTCCATAACATAACGCTCCCCAAGGACCCTACACACCCCGACAATATATTTTTGTATCCTTCTTTCGGCCGGCCCGACAAAATATTTGTGAAAATGTAAATCTCAAGTGTGCATAAGGGGTAGCCACTTTGGACATAACTCGTACATCGCTGTCATCAAGATTCAAACATTAATATTTTTTTTTCAAATACTGTCTACTACACTATTCAGCTAACCTTATGAAAACGTCCTATTTAATCAAATAGTAAGTAATAAAAGCATCACCTTGTTTTGAATTTTTATTTATTTATAATATTACTGGTGTACCAGGACTATATGGTCTAATGGTACCCGGGTTGGACTTCCATTTGGAAGATTACGAGTTCAAGCCTCAGTGGAGGCGTTATTGGTTCTTTGTGTTTCAATAGGTTGAGAAAGTATATGAACAGATACTACAATGTAATAGAGCCAGTAACTTTCAAAAAAAAGAATAATATTACTGGTGTAGCTTGCAATATTGTGAAAAAAAAAAATAATATTACTGGTGTAGCTTGCAATATTGTGAAAAGAATAAATTTCAAATGGTGGACAGACAAAATCTAGTTGTACACACTTCAATTCAATTACGAGTATAAAAAAGCTTAGCTTAAAAGTGTGGACGATGAAATTGCTGAGTGTTGTTTGTGTAACTCTGAGCTGTCTACCCATTGACAACCCCCCACCCCCCTCAATCACCTCCTGTCCCCACCCATTCCCTAACGTTGATCTGTAATTTTTTTTATTTTTATTTTTTCGATTCTTTCGATTCAACTCAGTTTGTACTAACTCTTACAATTCATATTGTGTTCATTTTTTATGTCGCTTAAAATGATATATAATAAATTTATAATGATGATGTTAAATTATTGCAAATATAAATTATATTTTCATATTAATTAGAAGTAATAGTTGTTGTTGTTATTTAATAGCTAGCAAATAGTAATTCAAAATTATAATGAATTATCACTTGATTGGGCTACGACAATGTAAAAGAGACTTATTTGAACTATGACATGCAATTCAACCCAATATTAAATATTTGATCAGATCATTAACCACATCGAAAAAGCTTTAAGTTCCTCGATGAATTCAGTTTTAAATGTGTGAAACAGTATGCGAATTAAGTTTTCTATAATATTGTTAGAGAATTTGTTTGATCTTACTGTAATTTTATAAGGATATTTGACCGTTTCATCGATCTTCATTGTGATCGTTTCAGAGGAGTAGCAACTAATCTTACGGTTCTTAATGATTTGTCATGCATTTAATTGTGAGTTGTAATTTACCGGCAAAAGCTTAAACAAAGATCCCTTCAACTCTTCAAAGCAGACGCATATATTTAGTATATTACACTTTCTGTCCCCCTCTACATACTGTGCTTTTTGTTCCTCCCTCCATAATCTTTCCATTTCCTTTCCCCCTCCTGTCTATAATGTAAGAAAAAAAGTGCAAATTTTCTTGTTTTTCTGGCTTGTAACTTTGCACTTTGCACTTTGAGCTTCCAATTCAAGAATGGCCTCTACTCTGTCAATGCTGCTCTGCATTTCTGTGTTGCTGCTGGGGTTGTGTTCAGCTGAAGATCCATTTGCTTTCTATGACTTTGAGGTCTCCTACATTACTGCTTCTCCTCTTGGTGTGGAACAACAGGTGTGTTTTCCAGATCTCTCTTTTAATTTTCTCCATACCATTTTGCAGAATTGGTTCTTTCAGTGTGTATCTGTGCTTATACTGCTGCTTCCAGTGATGGGTTGGTTTCAACTTTCAAGATTTCTGATTTTGGAGTGGTGGGTTTTTAGATCTGTGAAAAGTGGTGTTAAAGTTTTGAACTTTGAGATTAGTGCTTTAGTTTTAGTTTTGGTTTGAAAAATTTCTGTAAATGAGGTTTTCTGGGTTTTTCTGTTTCTTGAACTGCAGGTTATTGCTGTTAATGGGAAATTTCCAGGGCCTGTTATCAATGTAACTACTAACTACAATGTTGTTGTTAATGTAAAGAACAAATTGGATGAAGAACTACTCATGCACTGGTAGGATTTTTCATATTTTTTTGGGGGGATTAAGGTTTGTTCCCTTTAATGCAAATGAATTTTTGTCAAAATTGACAGGTCTGGTGTTCAGCAGAGGAAGAGTTCTTGGCAAGATGGGGTGTTGGGTACAAACTGCCCAATACCTGCAAAATGGAACTGGACTTATCAGTTTCAAGTGAAAGACCAGATTGGGAGTTTCTTTTACTTCCCTTCCCTCAATTTTCAGAGAGCAGCAGGTGGCTATGGTGGATTTACAATCAATAACAGGGTTATAATCCCGATTCCTTTCGATACCCCAGACGGGGATATCACAATCTTGATTGGAGATTGGTACACCCGAAACCACACGGTTAGTTTGATCTCTTTGTCTGAAATCTTTATTGAAGTTAGAATGTTTCGTGGATATATGATTTCTTGTTCCTTCCACCGTTAGGCTCTGAGGAAAAGTCTTGAAGACGGGAAAGAATTGGGAATGCCCGACGGTGTTCTTATTAATGGGAAAGGGCCTTATAGATACAATAACTCTCTCGTCCCTGATGGTATTGACTATGAAACCATTACAGTCCACCCGGGTGAGTTGCGTTGCCTGCATTATTGCTATATATAACTCCTAGATTGATCCAATGTTTTTAAGATAGTCATTTGAAACAATATAGTTATAATGTTCCTTGTTATGAGACTTCGATTATTACTGTCTTCAGGAAAGACTTACAGGATTCGTGTCAGCAATGTTGGGATATCGACAAGTTTGAACTTCAGAATTCAGAGTCACAACCTGCTTCTAGCGGAGTCAGAGGGGTCGTACACAGTGCAACAGAACTATACTAGCTTAGATATTCATGTCGGGCAATCGTACTCGTTTTTGCTAACCACAGATCAGAATGCGAGTTCTGATTACTACATTGTTGCGAGCGCTAGGTTTGAGAACGAAACTTTATGGCAAAGGGTCACCGGGGTTGCCATCTTGAAATACACAAATTCAAAGGGGAAAGCTCACGGTCCCCTCCCCGATCCACCAAATGATGAGTACGATAAAACGTTTTCCATGAACCAGGCCAGGTCTATAAGGTCCGTTTCTTCTGTTTCATAAGTAGTCATAAAGCTACTCACTTTTTCTCTTTCGCTCTCTGGGTTTTTCGATTAATGATTGTTTGTGCTGGGCTAATGAATTTCCAGGTGGAATGTGACTGCAAGTGGGGCTCGTCCAAACCCTCAAGGCTCTTTCAGATATGGTTCGATCAACGTGACAGAGTTGTACGTTCTAAGGAACAAACCACCAATTAAGATCAATGGGAAACAACGAACCACTCTTAACGAGATTTCGTTTTCTAATCCCAAGACTCCGATCAGGCTTGCAGACCAATTCAAATTGAAGGGCGTTTATAAGCTCGATTTTCCCACTAAGCCACTTACGGGATCACCTAAGATGGACACTTCAGTCATAAACGGTACCTATAGGGGATTTATGGAAATAATTTTGCAGAATAATCACACAAAAGTGCAAACCTATCACTTGAGTGGATACGCCTTTTTTGTGGTTGGGTATGATATTACTCTCGCATTCTGTTCATTGTACATAAGCCTTAAAAAGTCGTTTTTTTTTTTATCTAACTCCCGCTAATCAATAATTCGCAGGATGGATTATGGCGAGTGGACAGAAAATAGCAGAGGCACTTATAACAAGTGGGATGGAATTGCTCGCTCCACTATACAGGTCCCTACTTATTGCATTATAGTACTTCAAGAATAGCGTGTTAAATATAGCAATACTATGTTATTACCATGGAATTTCAACGTTTTCTTGTGGACAATATATTCTTTTGGCATCGCAAGATTTCGTTTGTAAATACATAAAGTTATGCACTTTTTGAAGTGTTCTAACTCGCTGTGTGCTGTTCAGGTTTACCCCGGGGCCTGGACAGCAATCTTGATCTCTCTTGACAATGTTGGAGTATGGAACCTGAGAACAGAAAACCTCGATTCCTGGTACCGTGGTCAAGAAACATACATCAGGGTTGTGAATCCCGAGGCTACTAACAAGACGGAGTTGCAAATGCCAGACAACGCCCTCTTCTGTGGCGCCCTTCAAAAAATGCAGAAGTATGTGCCTCAAGTTCTGAACCCTCTTCTATCCATTTTGCCATGTGATTATCGAGTTTTATTTTTCGTGCATATCGTTTACTTTCTTCTTCTTCTTAGGCCTCAAGACGTAACATCTTTGGCAACATCCATTAAGGGAAACACGTCGAAGCTGAGTTTCACTGTGCTGCTGCTGTTGCTGATATCTACAATGCTTTCTGTATGATATATACATGAAGAGAGAGTCTGGCTTTATTTTAGTGATGGATGTAGGAGCAGAAGTTTAGTCTTGTTGATAATGAAACATTTATCACTTTTTTTTTTTTTTTTTTGTATTTAATTTTTCATGTTTTATGGTTGTATTAACTGTTCCACAGATGCTTGTTTATTTATTTCCATTCTTTTATTGTATACTTGCTTTGCTCAATAGCAATTCTCTGTTTTTTTTTGACGAGTAAAATCTACCGCCACTACTTGAGAGTGTATACTTCCTGTTCCTGTACAATAGTCCGCTCAAGAGCAATTCTTAGAGCATCTCCATCTATAGTTTTTTCACAGTTTTTGATGAAAACATACTTATGTGGAGGAGAGAGAAGAGTTGGGGTCTTCTTCCAAGAATGATTTTTTGGTGGGGCTTGCCAAGAGAGAGAAAACGGAAAGGAGAAGCGTATCCGCGTGCGTGGCCTGCCTAGCTAGGCCCGCTGACACGTCCATTTTTTTTTTTTTTTTTTTTTTTTTTTGCGTCAAACCTAATTTTTATTTTTCTATTTTTCTTTATTCTCTCTCTCCCTCTCTCTCTCCTAATTGGCAAATCAAAAACCACAAAAAAAAAAAAAAAAAAAAAAAATCTCTACTATTAAGGATACTCTTAACATTATAAATTAGGATCTGTACAATTTAGGATCGTAAAATATAAATTAGTTACACTTGAGACTTTTGGATGGTTATTTTAGTACTAAGTTGGACAAATAGTGTAAAATAAACTTACTTTCTGAGTTGCATAGGGAGCAATCATTGCTTGCAACATCTTTCCTCTTGAGTAAACCGTCTCTGATCTAATTAGTAAATATTACTTTGCAATCGTTGATTCTAGTTAAACTAAAAATTTTCAAACAGTGCATATATTATAAATTAGGATTTGTAAAAATACAAAGTCAAATCTTGACCCATAGAAAGTATGATATGCAAATTATAAATTAGTTACCGGCTTACCGCTTGGAACTTGGATAGTTATTACCAAGTCCGGCTAAAAGTATACAATAAATTTATGTTCCAAGTTGCATTGAGGGATTTGAGGGCAAATGCTCGTTGCAATTGTCTTTCTCGAATAAGTAATTTATGATCTAATGAGTAAACATTACTTTGTAACCATCGATTTTGATTATATTAAAAAAAAAAATCTAACAATACTTACATTATAAACTAAGATTTGTAACAGACTAACACTACAAAGTCAAACCTTGATCTACTCAAAGTGCAAGGTGCAAACTATAAATTAGTTACCACCTGGAACTTAGATGGTTATTATCAAATTCTGGTAAAAATGTATAATAAATTTATCTTTGGAATTGTATAGAGAGCAAATGCTCCTTGCAATTGCCTATCTCAAATAAGTAGTTTGGGATCCAATTGACAAACACTACTTTACAATTCTTAATTTTGATTAAATTAAAAAAAATTCCAAACAATACATATATAATAGTGCAAAGTTAAAACTTGATCGACACAAAACACAATGTGCAAACAATAAAATAGTTACCACTTGATATTTGAATAGTCATTACCAAATCATGTTAAAAGTCTACGATACGTTTATCTTCCAAGTTGCAGCAAACACTCCATGCAATTGTCTTCCTCGAGACCTCGAATAAGCAACCCTTAATCTAATTCATAAATAATATCTCATACTCCGCATGGACTTGGCTCAATGGTTCAATATGTAGTATTTGAAAAAAAATATCAATATTCAAACTTTGGCGACGACAATATGAATATTATGACTAAAGTGGACAGATCCCTTGTGCGCACCAACATTTGGTCCTGTCTGCTAAGTCATTGAGTCACCGTGATTTACATCTTTCCAAATGTTCTATCGGGTCGATGTGTAGGGGTTCTTGGAAGAAAAGAACAATATTCAAACCTTGACAGCGACAGTGTGGAGATTATGCTCCAAAGTGGACAGATCAGATCCCTTGTGTGCACGAACATTTGGCCCTATTTGATTAGTCATTGAGTCACCGTAATTTACATCCTTTCAAATGCTCTGTCGGGTCAGGGTGTGAGGCCCTTGGAGTTAGGGGTTCAACGTTTTGGAGAAGATAAATAGTATCTCATAATTATAAAATTAAATTTGAAAAGTTCAAATAATAATACTTATATTAAAACAAAGTCAAAACTTGATCCACATAAAATATAAAATGCAAACTATAAATTAATTATCACTTGAAACTTGAATGTATATTTTAGTACGGAGTACAACGTTATTTTAAATTTTTAACTCCTACTAGAAAAGTAAACTCCAAAGAAATTTATATTAATATTATTTGAAGCCTTCTATCCTTTAATTGAATGGATGCTTAAACTTGGACCCCTTTTCTAACATAATTATACTTAAGACCACTATAATTTCACTAATTACATTAATTACATTTAAGATGCATAAATTGACAAATAACACCAAATGATTATAGTATTAATTTTTATCTTTTATTAAATTTGCAATCTACCTCCTTCTTTCTAATTTAGGTGATGTAAAAATATATCTCACAACCTTAACAAAATGTTTGATTTATAAAATAAATAAGAAATGAAATAGAATTCTCCAATATTACTAAATTTTATTGTTTAATTTAAGCTGTCAAATTTGTAAATTTAATATTTTTGAGAATTTTAGATTATCTAAAATTTTGAGAGAATGAAATTTTAATGAGAGCACCTAACATCTTAGGGTGTGTTTGGTTCGCACATGGAAATTAGAATCAGAATTGTAATAAGAATAAAATACTTGGTAATAGTAATAAGTTTTGGTGAAAGTATTTTGCATGTGTGGTAGTATGGTAGAATTGAAATGATTACCAATATTGATATTTGGTTGTTTATGACCCTATAATAGGAATAAATATTTTTAAAATACGAAAACAAAAAATCAAGGCAATTGATCCTAATATAATGACATTCAAAGCATTAATATAAACCCAAAAAAAAAAATCAAAAAAAAAAATAATCTAAAAGCACTAATCCAAACTTAAAAGTTAGATTACCAATAAGATGAATAATACCCATTTTTTAATTAGGTAATGAAATTTTTAGTTAAAGGGTAATCAAAACCCATAGTTGTGTTTTAAAAAGTTGTCAACCAAACACTAACTATGATTTTTATTTTCATTTCTAGTGTGTAAACACATAAACCAAACACACCCTTAATGCCCTTGTCAAGATTAGATACTTATTATTGCACTAAAAATTATACAAAGTAACAAACATGTAAATTTATTTTATTATTTTTTTATGGACAAGGTAATGGACTTTGACCAATAGTGCTCTTTATCTAACCCAAAAGAGTTAAAGCAACTAACGTAGTCAAATGGTAACGGTTAAGATTCAAGTAAAGAGTAGGTGGAACGGTTAAGATTCAAGTAAAGAGTAGGTGGAAAGGTGCACTAAACGCAAAGCCAATGCACTTAGGAGGCGTTTGGTTCACAGAATCTTGGATTACTCCAGGTAATAGGATTACCTTCGGGAAGGTAATGTGAGATTTTGAGAATGTAAGATTACCTTCTTTTTATTTTTTTTTTTTTTTTGTTTTTTTTTGTTTTTTTTTTGTTTTTTGTTTTTTTTTTTTTTGAAGATAATGTATGATTACCTTATGTGTTTGGTTTGGATTGTGAAATATAATATTATCTTGTTTGGTTAAGGGTTATATTTTAGGTCATATGGATCAATTTACTATAATATCCTATATATATATATATATATATATATATATATATATATATATATATATATATATATATATATATATATATATATGTGTGTGTGTGTGTGTGTGTGTGTGTGTGTGTGTGTGTGTGTGTATTCAAATGAGGACAAGTATATTATAGAGGACTGTGAGGACAGATGTAATGTGTGCCATTAGCTGGTATGTCGTGTGCATGGCCGAATATAGTCGTGTGCCAAAGTTTGTATGTCGCGTGCTAGATTTATTAATTTATAGAGCTTGTGTTCGAAACTTGATGTTTACATTTATTCTTGTGTGCCATTATGTATTAAGTTGTGTGCCTGGTATTAATTTGTTGTGTGTCCATTATTTGTCTTCACAGTCCTCTATATATTGTTGTCCTCATTTGAACTCAACCCTCTATATATATATATATATATATATATATATATATATATATATATATATATATATATATATATATATATATACATATTATTTATATGTGTGTGTATTTATTTATTTATATGTATGAATGTATATCAATGCTTAAATATTAAAAACTAAATATATAAATATACACATACACATGTATATTTGATTATATAAACATATATTTATTTCATTATTATTATTATTATTATTATTATTATTATTATTATTATTATTATATAAGGATTAGTTAATAGGGCAAAGTTGGAATAATTCAAGGTAATCTAAGATTACTTAAGAAAATGGGGGTAATCACATTACCTTGAAGCATTACCGTCACATCAGCTTTGAGGTAATATAACATTACCAAGTAATCTCATAACTTGAACCAAACAATGTAATATAACATTACCAGCCTCAAATTACCTAGGTAATCTCAGATGACTTGAACCAAACGCCCCCTTAAAGCAAAACCATTTCACTTATTAGAGGACTGCCTCATTAAAGGTGCAACTATTGTGAAGATGTAACACCCCACTTTTCTAACTTTTCTAACTCTTAATTATAACTCTAAACAGTCATTAACATCACTAAGCAGCGGAAATAACCAATAAATAAACAGTGGGAGTGTCACCGCCACAACCACCACTCCGTGGTGATTGCACAGGCTAAGGGCTAAAACTATAAATAAAGTAAAAGTTTGGCATCCATCATAAAAATTGAAAACATAAGGGGTAAATAACGTCACCCCGATAGTCTACAACATCCTCAAAACCATAAAGTTAATAAGTCTAAATCCAAAACATAAACATCAATCAAACTAGAGTTTAGATATCTCTAACTATGAGACTAATCTAACTCGACTTCTTCACACTGCTGGGCCCACTTGAAAGGGGTTTTGCAAGCAACACATAGACAAATAGGAAAAACACCCGTTAGCACGAAGATAAGTATAACCACACTCAACCCTGTAAAGTACTATAGATATATTTTGAAAACATTTGATTTCTTTATCAACAAAAACTCAACTCAAATAATCTTAAAATCTATCACATACTTTCTAGATGCTTGCACCCTATTATAACAGCTGGCATGCTCATATATACATAAGACTGTTCATTTAGATTCATCAACATATAATTTCTCAAATAACTTATCAAACAATTTATACTTACAGATAAGATCATGCTAATAAACCATATCACGGGTATACTCATGCTTTCATATTCTCATCTCATAATTCGATAAACAAGACTTCTAATACACAAAACGATTATAAGTCAACATTCACATTATGTACTCTCATGCGATACTTTACTCGAATGCAATCTTGTGCGACACTATACATCATACTCATATGCAATCTCGTGCAATACTATAATCATACTCATATGCAATCTCGTGCATTACTATAATCATACTTATTTGCAATCTCATGCAACAATATACTCATACTTATATGCAATCTCATGTAACAATATACTCATACTTATATGCAATCTCGTGCAACAATATACTCATACTTATATGCAATCTCGTGCAACAATATACTTATACTTATATGCAATCTCGTACAACAATATACTCATACTTATATGCAATCTCGTGCAACCACATATATATATATATATATATATATATATATATATATATATATATATATATATATATATATATACACACACACACTAGTTTTTTACGCGCATTGCGCGATTGGGATAATGCCCAATGTTTTTTTTTTTTTTTTTAAATAAGTACTTTAAAGTATATCAATGCAAGATTATATTGGAATTGTTAATGCATAGATAGTTGAATGTTAAATTTGCGTATTTAGATAGGCAATTTTAAGTTTACAAATGCAAGATAGTATAGTCAAGATTGATTATAATTGTCAATAAAATAATTGTATAGGTATGGTTGAAACTAAATACGGGACATAAGGGGGAGCAAATAAAAATTAGGACAAAAAATATTAAATATATAATAATATTGAAGAGCTAACTGCTGATTGCCAAATAAAGACATTTTGAGATAGTTTCTCACTTCAATTTGTTGTGTGATTTGAATACTCTTTTTATCAATAAATCCCCCAAGTAGTTAATACTTAATATGATTGGCTTAATTATATTTTTTTATTTTTTTAAACAATTATTATTATTATTATACCCTTAGGTCATTCCGCTAACTGCAGATTGTCAAACAAGGACATTACGAGGTAGATCTCACTTCAATTTGTTGTGTGATTTGAATACTCTCTTTTATTACATTGTAGTATCTGTTCATATACTTTCTCAACCTACTGAAACACAAAGAGCTAATAACGCCTCCATTGAGGCTCGAACTTACAACCTTCCAAATGGAAGTCCAACCTGGATATCATTAGACCACATAGTCCTGGTCCTCAAGTAGTTAATATGATTGGCTTTATTAATTATATTTTTTTTAATTTTTTCATGGTATTAATAAAATACTTGGTAAATAAATATATAGCATTATTTTGTATTATAACTTTGATATTTAATTAAAAAATAATGCACAAAAAAGATAATAGACAATGTAGTGAATATAATCAGTTGATGAATTTGAATGTAAAGAATTTTTACATTGGAGAAATATAAAGACAACATAACTAATAAAATTATTTTTCCTTAATTAATTTATTGATAATGAATAATTTTTTTTAATAAAGACATTGTAGGGACAATGTGGCGAATATAATCAATTGATAAATTTGAATGTAAAGAATTTTTATATTGGAGAAAAATAAATACAATATAACTAATGAAATTATTTCTCTTATTTAATTTATTGATAATGAATACTTTTTTTGAATAAAGACATTGTACACACATAATTCTAAATTAAAGAAATGCATATGTATTATTTTTTGTTGTAGCTACTAAATTATTATTTATAATTTAATAAGAGTAAAATAAAGTACTAATTATGCAAACTTTGATTGGGATGGGGTTCGAACCTAAGATTTCTTATTGAAATCAATGAGTAAGTTAACGGTGAACTAACAAAAATTAACGGAAAAGATAATATTTAACGGAAAATTTAACGGATAATCATATTCATTAAGGATAAATTAGGAAATCTTAAGAAAAAATTAAAATCAGATCAATCTGAGCCATTCATTTGATTAAAAAATTTGACCGCCATTTTTTCTACCCATTATAGGCCTAACTCTCTTGGGCTCTTATTAGTATAGTAGATATATATATATATATATATATATATATATATATATATATATATATATATATATATATATATATACTCATGTACACTCGTTGTAAAAATAGAGTACTTTTTGTGGAGGTCTATTGAGTCTCTCTTGACTCGCTTTCTTTCTCTCGAGTCTCTCTTGACTCGCTTTCTTTCTCTCGAGTCTCTCTTGACTCGCTTTCTTTCTCTTGAGTCTCTCTTGACTCGCTTTCTTTCTCTTGAGTCTCTATTGACTCGATTTCTTTCTCTTTTCGCTCGTAGACGGCTCAGGGTTTCACCGTAGCGTGAATTGTCCCATCGGGAACAGCGTAAGTCCGAACAAATATCTCATACCGTCTACGCAACCAATCTCGTGGTTCACGCGATGTGGAATAAGGTATCGAACTTTCAGTGTGCACACCCCTAACCAGGATTCCAAGCCTAGCGGGCAGTTTTCAACCTCGTAACGTGAGAATACGCTGCGTTACATATACTGGGACTGCAATGTCCATAACAATCATCCGAGAGGACATAGTCCAAACGGGTCCTCCAAAACCTCACCGATATAGATAATACATAAATATATCTCTCATGCATCAATCTTATGCATGCAACAACTTTACTACTTCTCAAATGCATCAAAGAATGCTATACACATGCTCATGGTCTTTGAAAATAATACTCGGGCTCACGTTGGCCCCTTATGCATTTTTGAAATATGACATATGTGAAATGCCAAAATGCTCTATAACATGCTTATAAATCATGCATAAAATATCATAGAAGTGTTCAAAATATAACGTCATGCTCGATTTGCAAATAGGCAACTTCTATACATTTCACTTCCACAAATATACTTCTATTCTCTTGGATCAAATAATACAATTTAATCATGTTATAAAGGTGAATCACATTCTCAAATGATCATGCTTCTATACTTAATAAAATCATCAAACAGGTCACAAAGATAACAATTCCTCATATACAGTGCATAGCAAAATATATACTCTGTGTAGTATTTCATCACAATTTCCTTCATAACATACTCATTTTAGATCCAAATTCAACGAAATCAAAGCCAAAACGTGCGTCGAGACGGTCCCGAAGAGCCGAGCCACAAGGGCCGTAACACTAGGCCAGAAACGACACGTAGCTGAGCCACAAGGGCCCGACCACTGCACAGATTCTTCTCAGAATCAAAGTCAGGGACCTGGGGCGAGACTCCTCATGGTCCGCCCCTTGTATCCCGTCACTTCACCGGGACAAGGCGACGGCCCTCCTCTAGGGCCGTGCCCTAGTCCCGTGCAAGCACGGATCTAGCCGGCGGCCCTCCAGATGGGCCGTGGCTAGGGCCGTGACTCCGATATGATGCACACTGTGTTGTGCACCAGAAGGTTTTTCATCTGCAAAATCCAATCCAAACAAGTCCAAAACAATCTCAACAACTCACAAACAAATACTAAATCACTTCTAAGCATAAACACAACAAAATCTTAGTTTCTACTCATTTCTACTCAATGCTAAGGCTTCACAGAGCCAAATTTTAAAGAAAAATCCATGGGGTTATACCTCTTGTAGACTTTCTTCTAGCTTGGATCTCTTTTTCCTCTCTATCTAGCTTGAGCCTTCTTCACCACCTATACTTCCCAAACACCATACAACCTTAGCCTAGAACCTCAAAGATTAAAAGGAACTAGAAGAGAAATGAAGGCTTGGATTGAAGAAGGAGATGAGCTTACTATGATGTTGTTTTCTCCCTTTCTCTTGACAGACAAATTGTGTTGAGAGGCAAAGAAAGAGATCAGGGAATCAAGATGGAATAATGGAGTTTATATAGGGTCCAAAACCCTAGGTAGAAGGCCAATGATTGGTTGAGGGCAAAATGGTAATTTGGAGTAGTTCTAGCCAAGATCAAACAAGGATAAAGTTTTTTGTGGTCCACCTTGCAACATGAACCATAGACTAGAAATGCTATTTTAAATACTTTGGGGTTGAAAATGAATTTTCTCAAAAAGCTATTTAGATGAATCCTTGTTTAAAATCTTTTTGAATACTCCCGGTCTCACTCAGAATAAATCTCGATTAAAATCCTGGTACGCGAAGTACCCGAAAATTTAGGAATTTTCGAAATAGAATAAATTTTGGTGTCGAATTGATTTAAAATGTGATGAAAATATTTTATTCAACACCGATTGATGGCAAAAATTTTTAATAGAGTGAAAAAAGGCTATTTTGGGATTTCTTAATACCGAATTTATAAAATGAAATTTTAGATTATTACAGAAGAAATCATACACTTAATAAAGATAGAATCGTAGTTACTATATATATCTATTATAGGCTCCGTTATACTGAACATAGAGTTGTTATACTTACTAACATAAATACTAGATCCCTGTAACAGACAGAAAACACATTCAAAAACTTGTACTCAGAACTATCAGTCCTAGTTCATTGTGATGACTTGTTGTTTCTCCCAATTCATTGTATTCATAATTACTATCCCAATAAACATTATTATCGTGAATACCAATTAATGCTATGATTCAACAATAAAATGTTGAAATTGACTCACGACGCATTTGTCCAACAATCCACATTACCAAAGTTATGTACCCCAAACCAAATGTATTGGCTATTTAAAAATGTCTAAATTATTCTCATTTTTAAATAATTTTTGTGCACAAGTAGTAAAAGATTGTGATATAAATTATGAGTAATTGAGAATATGAAGGGTCTAAGTGGAATGTTTTAAAACTAGGGGGCTTAAATGAAATACTCCCTTTTAAAAATACCCAAATTGCTGAGTATACTAGCTTACTTCGATACTCTTCTTCTTCACCACTATAAAGAGATTTCAACATTTCTTCGTGTTTTTGAATTCTTTGATTCTGAGCTGTGAATGCGTGAGCATGAGGAAAATGAAAGGCATCAGGCTTGGCCGGAGGCTGGTGAGAGTTTTCCGGCGGCTGAAACCTCCCAGCTCCGTCGTCGCCGGAGCGGTTTCGAAGCTGGGGCGTTTGATGAAGCAAGGTGCGTCATGCCTGCGATTAAAGAGGGGCGATCCGGGTTATATCCGGGTTGGACAAGACCCGGCTGAGCCGCAAAAGGTTAGAGTGCCGAAGGGACACCTGGCGGTGTACGTCGGAGAGCGGGAGGATTTCGCGCGCAGAGTGACGGTGCCGGTGATATACTTCAACCACCCGCTGTTCGTGAATTTGTTGAGGGAGGCGGAGACGGTTTTCGGGTTCGATCACCCCGGCGGGATCCAGATTCCTTGTCGGATATCCGAGTTTGAGAGCGTGCAAGTTGCAATCAAAAATCGCCGCCGGCGGGGGCGCGGTGGTGAAGACTGACACTTAAGGCGGAGATGGCTTTGATTAATGAATTAATACTGTCTCGTTGGCCCCAAGAAAAGGCGGGAAACGATTTTATTGTATTTTATTTATGTGTTTTTTTTCCGGTTCTTTTTGTTATAAGGATCCGAATGGTATATTGACCAATGGTACTAATTTTTGGTACACTATATTTGTAAAATGGTTGTCATTCCTAAACTCAAATTGGAATATATTTAAAATTGTCCAAACCTTACTCATACTACTCGTTCAGTTGTCCAAAATCACACTATCAATATTTAATATATTTGATATTTTATACATATATATTTTGATACTGGGTGAAATTTTATTGTTTATGTGAAACACATCTTATTAAAGTTTGTATTTTCATTGCTTACTTGAAACACATCTTAGACAGGGTAACCACAACAATGGTTTTTCTTAGTTTTTTTGAAGAAAAAAATCACAAGAACAAGATTTTTACAGAGATGGAAAACATGATTTTCTCTTAGTTTATTTCCCTGCAAATCGAAATTTCCATGTAAATTGTGCGTTCTGCGCACTGTCGCGCCTAGCATGGTGCGTGCAGTACATGTGTTATGCTTGGTGCGTAAAAAATGTCTTCTCTTTTTCAACTTTTTTTAGGTCTTCTCTTTTTCATTTTTTTTCTTTTCTTGTTCTCTTCTCTTTCTTTCCCCTAGTTGGCCCCGGTAAAAAACCACCACAATTGAGGTTTTTCTTATTAATGTTTAAGAGATGTTGTTGTTTAGGAGGTGGTAGGGAATATCCCGACCGACTTAGCTTCACCACGACCGAGGAGCCTTTTGTCTCTTTCTCCTTGTCTTTGCAGGTAACAGGTCGGGCTCCACGAGAAGAACCCGGTCGTAGACCGACCGGAGTTGCCCGAGCGACGGTGTCGACCACCGAGCGGTAGCCCTTTGGCGAAAGAGCTGACGAAGGGCACGTGGCGGCTCTTTACATCGACAGACAGGGCACCCGGGAGGATGACACGTGGTGGCTACGTGGAGGACATGCCGAACGGCTGGAATCCTGTCCCCGGCATAGCGGCTATAAATACCCACAGTAGCTACAGTGTAAGGGACTTTTGGACGATCGATAGGTTGTTACTAGAGAATCCCGACCGCACTCAGTCGGTACTCAGACCAGTCAAGTAGATTGTACTTAGGGCCTTTACCGTGATCAATAAAGATTTTACTTGCTTTAATTGGTCTCGTGATATTTTATATTGCTTACGTAGAATTAGCAGTATCATTTTGGCGCCGTCCGTGGGGACCCGTGCAAGAAACCAACGTCTTGACGAGCACCCGATCATCATATCGACATGTATCCGTGGGCACACAACAACTTCGCCGACGACCAGGCGGATGCGACGAGCTCCTCCGACCACTATGCTACCCAACAGCAGGGTCAGACAATGGACCTCAACCTCAATCTCTCACCACCACATCCGTCGAATACATACCCGGTCGCCCAGCAGCCGGTGAATTACATACAACCGGGATACCCACCACCCGGACTGCCATACCAGCAGCAGCCGATGATGTATCCCGCCCAGTATCCGTACCCGGTCCCACCTCCACCGTACGGGTATTGGCCAGGCCAACCGATGTGCTACACTTCCCCGGTTGGTTATCCACCATATACGCCTGCCTATACAGCTCCAGCCGCCGCCCCTCCAGTACAACCGATCGCACAAGTAGAGCCGCAGCGTCAGTCCACTTCCCGGGCTCGACGCTCGGCTCATTCGCGGTTGGGGTCGGGGGGTGCTGATGCGATGGAGGCACCAGCTCATGCCGTTCAAGCGGAGGACCCTGAAGAGGTTGCCCGAGCGGTAGCTTTCGATCGTCTCCGACCAGAGATGCGCCAGCGTTTGGGACCCCAAGACCCGAATCGCGGGCAAGAGGACGTACAAATGCAGGAAGCTAGCCACGAGGCTTCGTCCGGGTATAGCGGGTCGAGAACTCACCGACGACGACGCGCTCGAGATACAGCCCAAGCCGCTCAAGCTGCCGAGCTCAACGAAACCCGAGGATTGCTCTACAACCTCCAGGCGGAAGTTGCGCAGCTCAGGAGTGCGTATCCTACAGCACCCCCGGCCAACCGATCGACCCTACACCAGACGCCTTTCACAGCAGCGGTAATGGCTCAGCCTTACCCGCTCGACTTAAAGGTCTCGGGAGAGAAGAGTTACGACGGTCGGACAGATCCTGAGGCTCACGTGAATGATTTTTTCAGCAATATGATGCTGAAGGGCGTTTCAGACGCCGTGATGTGCAGGGCTTTTTACTCAACCCTCACCGGTCGGGCGGCAGAATGGTTCCGAACCCTGCAGCCGGGGTCAATCGACAAATTTGAGACCCTGGCGATCAAGTTTGTACGGAAGTTCATTACTTCCAAAGTGGTGAGGAAGTCCTATATGTACCTCGAAAAGGCCAAGCAGCTCGAAGGGGAAAGCTTGACTGACTTCCTCATCAAGTGGAAGGCGGCGGTCGGGGAGGTCGAGCCCATGGATGATGCGACCGCCACTCACATGCTTCACATCTCCCTCCGGGCGGGGTATCTATACCAGGATTTTATCCTCCACCCCCCGACCACGTATGAGGAGGCCCTACGAAGGGTCACTGATTACGCCAACGCAGGTGAGGCGAATGCCGTTAAGCGCTCGCAGGAGGTCGGCTCTTCGTCTCGTAAACCGGCCGGCCGGGCAGAACATCGATCGGGAGATGACAATCCCCGACCCCGCGCCAGGCATGGCGAATTTACGGCCTTGAACCGATCCGCAGCGGAGGCCATGCAATACGCCCAGTCCTGCAATCTCATCAAACTTCCCCATCCCGATCGAGACGGCCCTGACAAGAGTAAGCATTGTGCTTACCACCGATGCGCCGGGCATGACACCGAGGAGTGTACCCACTTGCGCCAATTATTGGAAGATTTGCTCAATTTGGGAAAATTGGACAAGTGTGTGGGGAAGAGAGAAGACAGCAAGAGAAATACCGATCGGAGGGATCACAGACGATCTCATCACCGCTCTGATCGGTCGGGCCAGGACCGAAGAGACGATCGAAGGGACGATCGTCATGATGACCGACGGGACCCCGACCCTCCGTCCGGTAGCCGCCCGTCCGGAAAGCCTACCATCCACGTCATTTTTGGTGGGCTGGAAGATGCTTCCCGACCGCGGACAAATTGCCCGGTCGCAGTAGTGGATTCCCGGGAGACCGGGAAGAGGCAGAAGATGGAGCCCATAACCTTCACCCTCGAGGACCAACCTACCAGCAATGATCACGGCATGGAGGCGCTCGTGGTCACGATTGACGTTAAGGGGACGGATGTCCAAAGGGTTATGGTTGACACGGGCAGTAGCGTGAACGTCCTATACTTGGACGTGTTTGAGAAGCTTGGCCTTGACAG